ATGGATGGATATAGAGAGATGAATAGATATGACATAAGCAATGTCTTAAAATGTTACTATTGTAGTGGAACCTAAGTAATAAGAATGCTTTCAGTTTTGTTGTGTTTAGGGGGAATTTTTATAATAAAACATTGGGGAAATACTCATAAATTAATTGAGTCATAGGAGGTAGCCATTTTTGTGGGTCAAAAAATGGTCAAATGCCGGCACTTTCTTATTATTGAGCCTAACATGTGACAGCACGTTTTTTAGTCACTTTATTTGGCCATCTTTATTCGACAAGGCGACAAGGCATTAATAGGAAATAGCTCCGTTTGCCTCCAGTCATTGTGCTCCCTTAGGCTAGATTCATCTCCTCCTTGCTCTGGGGAGCAGAGCCTCTTGGCTATCCCTGGGACAGATGCCTTGATATCCCAGCCACTTTCTGTTTTTAAAAGCGTGTCTGGTTTAGATCCGATCCTGTTTTCAGTGTAGAAGTTCTTGTCTTCCCTTTGCATCAGGGCTGGAGGGACCGCAGTGGGGAGTATTGAGTTGTGCTGTCCCAAGGTCTGCCTTGGGGCTGTGCCTGGGAGGAAGAGGGGGAAAGGCCTTCCTCACTTCTCAGGCCCCTCTGCTGTTGATAGTTGAGAAGTCAGTCTCCTTCCAGGCATCCTTGGTCTCTGCAAGGGATTCTCTTGCAGCACCTCTTTCTCACGTGGCTTTAGGAGACGGAATTTTGGAATTCACAAATCAATATTTATACCTTACCAAGTTGGTTGAAAACTCAGATTCACTGGTCTACAAAAGTGTGGTTATTCAGCTTTTGACAAAGTTGTGAAATTTCTGCTGGAGAGGGAAATATGTATATGTGTAAGAAAGGTCGAAGTTCTTGTAGTTAGGGGAAAGGACACTGTTCACGCATCACCAGTTTATTTGGTCATGATTTTTTTCAAGGAGTTGGGCAAACTATACAGACTGAAGAAACAGTCCCCACAAGAATGCCCTCACTTCAGACACCAGGAGCAATTTCAGGGGCCTTCAGGGCCACTGTGATTTCAGACCTGCTGGCTGCAAATTTGAGGTCCCCACAAACGTACTCAGGGTTGGTAATTTACTAGAATGGCTCACAGAACTCAGGAAAGTGCAGCACTTACCATTGCACTTGCATCGCAGTGAAAGGATACACGTTAGCACCATCCAAAGGAGGAGCCAGGAGGGTGTAAAGTCTGGGCAGCTTCCGAGCACAAAGCTCCATTGTCCTCAGGGATGTGGTACTTCCTAGATGTGCAATGATGCGTATGGAGTATTGCAACTGGGGGAGCTCATCCCAGCCCTTGCTAACCTCACTAGTTCTTGGGGCTTGATCACATGCTACATGCATGCCTGACCTTTAGTTTCCTCCATGTCCTTCAGAGATCAGAACTGATACAGTGTGTCCCAAACCTCATGTGGCTAGGTTGTCCAGTGGCCAGAAACCCCGGGCAAACAAAGATACTCCTATCAGGGAGGACATTCCAGGGACCTAGAAACCTCATCTAAGTCACTGAGGGCAAAGGCCAGACCTTTCTTTGGATTAATTCTTCACTATGCAATTTTTAGTTGCAGCAATTTCTTTTTGTTGATTAGTTATTCATCTTCATTATTATTAATGAGATGCCTGGTGGCTGGCAGCCCCTAGGTAGCTTCAGGATGAGGCTGGTCACACCAAAGACCAAGGCAGGACTAGAGGGTCAAAATTTCCAGCCCCATCCTCAAACCTTCAGGGAGGAGAGAAGGGCCGAAGGTTAAGTTGATCACTAGTGTTTAATCAATCATGCCTGCACAATGACGCTTCTGTAAAAGTTCAGAAGGGCTGGGTTCCTGCAGCTTCTGTGTAGCTGGAGAAGGTTGCTGCAGGGTGGCATGCCCAGAGCTGGCATGGGAGCTCCGAGCCCCTTCCCGCATGCCTTGCCCTGTGCATCTCTTCTGCCTGCGTGTTCATCTGTGTCCTTTGTAGTAAACTAAGTGTTTTTCTGAGTTCTGCAAGCTGCTCTAGCAAATTCATTGAACTTGAGAAGGGGGTCATGGGAACCCTGATTTATAGCTGGTCATTCAGAAGTTTAGGTGACACTACTTACAACTGGCATCTGAATTGGGGGCAGTCTTGTGGGACTGAGCCCTCAACCTGTGGGGGCAGTCATGGCACATCAGTGCCACGGAACGACAGGAGCAGGCAAGTTTCGTGAGTCAGGGAGTGACTTGAATGATGCATCGTGGACTCTAAAATAGATGTGGAAATATGTGAAGGCAGGAGGCAAAGAAGGGGTAGGAGAGAAGGAGAAATCAGAGAACTACAGGATCTAAGAAGAAATTGTTGAATTAAACAAACTGGAAAAATAGGAGGTTGTGATCAAAGAGTGCATGTTTCCATTCTGTGCATCACCTGCGATGGAACCTAAATCCTGGCCTGTGAAGATGGTTTCCACCTGGGGGGGGGGGCATGTTTAAGTAGGCTTTGCTCACTGTCTGCAGGGTGGCCTTATTTTACTTTGGTGATACTGGCTATTAGGTTTAAAGTTATGACTTGCTAATGATTACTTGGGGTCCTATCTGCAGATGAAACATTTTTTGTTTTAAAGGCCTGTATTTTCTTTTTTCTTTTTTATTATTTAACCCAATTTGAGAATCTCAATGCTGCTAAGACCTGTATTTTCGGTATCTCATGATACCCTGCTGCCCTTATGACGGGACCAGACAAGCATTGCTTTCTTAGCAGGGTTACAGATCTTCCAGGATGGTTGTGCCATCCAGCAAACTGTAGATGTGATTAGGAAGGTGAGTCGGGGTGGGTTTATGACAAGATCCATGGTCAGAATGAGTGTTGGATTTAGAATGGAGGGGAGCAAGGTCTCTGGGGATGAACAACTGAAGGAGAGAGAACCTGTCTTGTTGGCCAAGGATCGACAGTGAGACCTCGTGGTTATTGGCTGGAATCTCGCTGTAGAAGACTGGAGTGTGGGTTGGGGCTGGGGGAGGCACAGGAGGGGGTGGGTGGCAGTGGTGAGGGACGTGGTGGATCCTGTAATTAGATGGCACGGACCTCAGAGGAACAGGGTTTTGTTGTTGTCAGCATTTTCTTTTTTTAGGGTGTAGGGATATGATGATTGGGAGATTGGTAAAAAAAGAGGTACTACTTACTTCCTCCTTCCCCCAACCCTAAGAATTAGAGATGAATAGTGCAGTTTTCCTTATGTGTGGTCCCAAGACCAGCAGCATCAGCTCACCTGGGACTTGCCTCAGAGATCCTGGCTCGTGTGATCTCAGGCAGATATTAATGGTCTCAGAACATTTATTGAAGGTTTGGTCTTTCCTTGGACCCAGGAGTTGCTATTATTTCCAGCAGCTATTACAAGGAATAGTAAACTAAATACCACTTTAGTTGTTTTTGCTAGGATTTTAAAACATGATTTGTTAGCTACAAATTGCATTTATTTTTAAACTTCTCATACATTTTTTCATCATAAAAATGAATTGTTATTATAAGAGGTAGTTGCTTGAAATTCAGAATTTTCCTTAAAAAGTGTTGTGATAGATTAAGTGATATTTCAGAGAGTTTTCTCCTGATCTCCCTATCTAAATATTAATAACAGGTATGCCGTTGTCATTGTGAACTGAGGAGGAAAGACATTTTATCCAAATAACTATTCAACTATTGCAAAAGACAAGAGAAGAAGGTTAACTATAGGACTTGAGAAAATGCTTTGGTAAAGATTTATCTAGAGGAATAACAGGAACAGCGTTGGAGAAGCCTCCAGGCTGAGGCATGCCTAGATTTTAACAGCTGTGATTCTTGTGTTAGTTCAGCATTTGGCCATTGACCTGCGGTTTAGAATACAGCTGGCCTTGCCCAGGCCAGGAAAGAGAGAGATGAAACCCTAGCTACGCTGGCAGTCTCAGGGGAAGGTAGGATTATAAAAAGAGCTGTGAATTGGAGGTGAGATTTGTGCATTAGTCCTGAGTCAAGAAGAATTTGTTGCACCAGATGACTTCTGCAAATATTTGTATGCGTAGTTTGTGTCAAGACACATTGAGGCACAGAACTGATGACTTCCCCCAAGATCAAATGTAATGGAAAAGCCAGGAGCAAACCCAAGTGTCTGAACCATACTGAGCTGTCTACCATGTGAGTGTGGCCATTTGGTTTCCATTGGTCCCACCTATGTAGGGTCTCTTGTTGCTCTCATTCCTGCCCCCCCAAAGAAACACAACAAAAGAAAGTTTCCAGAATATGTGTCTAATAAATTTGCATGGCTGTGGGATGGTGGGTCATCTTAAACCTCTATTAATAAGTGATTCGTTATCATTTAACATTTTAGCAAGCACCAACTTCAGTGGGACAGATCTTGAGGAAAGGAATGGGGGAAATAATGCTTGGTCAGGGGATACAATTTTGCTCATGTGGCCATGATACCTGCTTCACTCTGTCCCAAATCTGGGCCATTAAGTATTAATACTGTAGGTTGCAGACTCCTCTTCAAAGCATTTAAATGTTTCATTTGCCTATAAAGCCTTAAATTTGAGTGAAAAATTAAAGACTTATAAACAACTTTTATTTTTTTATTTTTTATTTTTTGTAACAACTTGGATGGAGCATATAAACAACTTTTAAAGGTTGCTGCCTTGCTCTAGATACTATTTGTGCTAAATTAATTTAGTATACTAATCAGAACTCTAATGAATTTGTGAACTGCTAATCTTAGATCAGTGAAGAAATGTATTAAAATTGGACTGATTTTATTTCCCAGAAGAGACTATTTGGAGATGGTGGTGTTGGGGAAAAGTAGAAAAAAATTAGAATGCAGTTGTATAATCTCTTTTGAGTTCGCTTTTAAGATAGTGTTTCCTAGGTCACTGTTCTCACTGCTAAAGATTTCTTTCTTTTCCTCTGTTCTCCCAGCCTTCCTTCTGTTCTGTCCCCTCCCTCCCGCCCTTCTCTCCTGCCCTCCCTCCCTCCTTCTCCAGGGAAACATTTTGCGGTGTTGCGTTATTTTTGCCGTTGGAGGAATTACTCCTGAGATGGCAATATCTGTGCATCAAAATCTTGAGCATTAATTAGTTTCTCACCATGTATTCTCTTTCATTCAAACAAACTAAGTCATGTTTTTTTCTTGTAGGCATTTGATTAGATTCTGAAGGGCCAAATCGAGCTGTTTTTGTGCTTGGGGCCACAATTTATAGAGCTGTTTCTGTTTTGAATGAGTTGGTTCTTAAGCTAAAGCCATTAAAGCCTGCTTCTAAGAAAACAAAACTGCCAGCACAATTTGTTTCATTTCGTTTTTTCCAGCATGTGCCTGATTTTGAAGGAGTTGGAGTTAGGAGATAGGACCAGCTGAGAATGGAATCCCGTAAGTGGGAGAAAGGCTGTTGAGTGGTTAGGAGTACATTTCAGTCTGAGTGATTAGCAGCATTTGGCCATGAGGTGGAGACCTCTAAAAATAACTGGTGAGCAGAGTTTGCAGTCAGGTCCAATTTCAGCTCTAGTTAGAGGCCTTGGCCAAGCCAGAGTTGGCCAGTCTAGAGCTCTGGTAGGGAAGGGCTTGTGGTGTGCCCCAAACCTGCCGATAATAGTGCTTTGATTTTTTTTTTTTCCTTTGGTATTTATTATTCATGGATTGAAGAAATCAAAATGGCTGAAGATAAAGGTATATTTTTGTTATTTGGGTTAAAAGTGGTTTTGGATTTAGCTGACAGCTTTTTGCTTTTATTTTCAGTTGTGCTGTTGAAGTATTTTTGGCTAAGTGCTCGACTGCATCGTCGTCTTTTTCTATTTTGAACTCCTAGAGACATCGACTTTTCACAGTGGTTGAAGTTTTCATGGAATAATCTATCTTTAATTTGAACATGTTTTGGTGTCTTAATTTAAACTGTCTTTTGGTATATTACACTATTAGAGGCTGTATTTTACAAACTTCAAAAAATGTGGAAGCTGTCTTCCTTAGTCTTGTAAGTTAATTACAATGAATTTAAAAGAATTTAGAATATTCAGATTTTACATAAAATAATTGGAAGCTTAAGAAATATATATCCAGTGTCATGTTAATGAACTGACTTAGTTGAAGTAAAGACTTACTATATATGGAAACTGACGTCCTATTTTGTGGAGTAGACAATAAATGCAAAGAAAAAACACTAGAATTTAATTTTGTTTTTTAAATTGATTCATTAATCTTCAAGTGTTCTTTAATGACGTGTTGAATTTATTTTTGTATATATGTTTGTTTTTGCTTTACTTTGTAAATTAAGAGTCTTTCCATTAATTGATAGTAGACTACATTCATTCACTCCTGATGTTGAAAATTTGTATAAGGAAAAAATAGATACATGGAAATTACTTCTCTCACCTGTCTAAGTAGAAGAGGATTCTACTATGAGAATAGAGATTGTGAGCATCTCCACTGGGAATATGGTTTGGAATAATTGGTTAGTGGATCACTTACCCAGTCTGAAAAGTGCTCCGTGTAGCCATGAAGAGGAACATAAGATATGTATCTGACTTTTAATTCCTTTACTAGACATTTCTCCCTCTCCATGGATTAGGTAATCTACATAGTTAGGTAAATTCAGCTGTTCGCTTTTAGCAGTTCTTGGTTTCCAAAGGGTGACATTTTTGTAGGATGGAAAAGTAATCAGTTTGATGAGTGTCTTGACAGTTTTTATTGTTTTTAAAACTTTAAATGTATAGAGTTTATATGTGAATATGAAACTCCCAGCATAGTGCTACCTAAAACTTATAAATGGTTGATTTATTTATCATTAACATTAATGGTAGTTCAGTTAGTAGTAGGCCAGGTACATCTTCTATTTCTATCTAAATAAAGTTACCTATTGCCCCTAGATTAGTCTTCATTTTGGACTATTTGGACTATGCTTCCCACAGTAATTTTCTGTGTTTGGTACTCTGTGGGAACATTTTTTGATTTAAAGTTCATGTATTTTTGATGAAACAGCATAAAAAAATTGAATCACATAGTTCTTGCAATATTCGTAACTCTAGTAAAAATTCCTTTCGACTAATCCCTGGCACTACAGGTTGAACATGGAACCAGAAAATGAAAAGAAGACTTTTAGGTTTATTCTGATCTTGGAAAATTGGGACAACTCTTAGATGTTCTTCCAGAATACCTTTGGAACAAAGTACTGGTTCCAGATTTGCTTAGGGATTATACACCCTCTTGAAGGGTTTGTCTTACTATACTTTCGTCAGTTTCATTGGGCAGAAACTGATATGCCCTTTGGGACTGGGCACACCAAATTTACAAAGTGACGTATTAGGAGTATATTATTGGCTGTTGGTAAAAAAGTTCTCCAAAAAAGGTGTGTTAGGAAAGACTCCCATCTATAAGTTAGTGTTTTATTCCTTTATGGAATTAGTAAATGTTAACAGTAATCAAGTGATAAATCTGTTTAATAAAAACTAGTTTGAATGAAAATGTTTCTAAGATTTATTATACATTTCTTGCATTCTTAAACAGATTGATATTTTAATGACAGAATCAACATGAATATCAGTTATTACCTTGTACTAAAGATTATTTTAAAGGGTCTGCCTACAAGTTTCAATCACAAGCAGCTTCACAGTACTCGGCTTTCCTACTTCTTGGCCTGCTCTTGCTGCGGATCCTGCCCTTAACAGATTTTCCCTCTAACAGTGCTTCACTGCTTTCATTCATTTGGGTCAGGTTGTCTCTGAACTCTATTCTGTAGTTTTGTGCACTGAGTTGGCAAAGTTGATTGACGTTGTTAGAATTGTGCCTAAAGTGAATATGAACAGATTCTCGGTGAAGATTTTACTGTGTGTTTGGTTCTTTCTCTCCTCCTGGTCCCAGTCCCTCTCTGTTTTGGTGCATGCATTTATTTAGTTTTTTTTAAGGAAGCCTTTTCCCCACTTTTTCCTTATATTTGGTGTTGTAGGTCAGTAACTTAGATGAGTGTCATAGAATTAGCTTGGATAAATGATATGTGACTGTTGAGAGTTTCAGAAACTTTCCTCTCCTATTTTTGTTTTAAGAAAGAGAAATAGAGAATGTTAAACTTTGAGTTCAAATTATTATTTTGTTTTATTAGCTATTTCATGATAGGCTTTTTGTGAATAGTATCATCTTGAATATACTGTTATTGATGTACACATTTTGAAAACTTAATTATTGGGTAAAATTTTTCTTGCATACATGTGCTGAATAAATATTAAATGAATGAATGAAAGGCTGAACTATATTTAGCCTAGCTATTTTCCAGTTAATGAGGAAAAATACAAGAGACTGGTGTCAATTACAGAATATTCAAGAGAAGATAAGACAAGATTACCCTGTTTTACTGAAGTTTTAGTATTCATTTTACATAAATATTTAAATTTCATTCTTAGAGACAATAAGAAGCCAAGGCAGGAATTTCTTAGTCATTAACTATTATAGTTCCATCTTTATGCTTAGTGTTGTACACAAATGGGTGTGTATGCATGTATCTATATGTTATGTAGAAATAAGGGTTTTAAAAAAATATAGTCTTAGAAAAAAGTCTTTATAAAACTTCAGGAAAGTTTAATAAATTAAACATATAATATTGCTACTAAATCTGTGGACCCTCCCTGCCCCTACAGAAGCCTACTCAATTTTATAAATCTTTTCTTGTTTTTAAATTTTAGTGGTGGTTTATTTTGTATTTTTTTTAATAACTTATATGCATAAGACAAAAAATATTGGAAATCATCATTTCCACCACCAGCATTGCAGAAATTCTCACCCAGTCTTTCCCTCCCATGGCTGTGTTGAGGTAATGAAACAGTGATGCCTGTTTGAAGTTGATTTAATGTGCAACAATGTCATCTGTGCCCAGCAAGTATTTTTTAATGTATAAATTATGTTTTTGTATAGCTAGTTTTTATGTAGATCATGTTAGAAACAAAGTTGGTAGTCATATATTATTTGGTAAGCATATTTTTATAAATTTACTATATGATTATTTAGAAATTTGACGCTACCTGATGGGTATGTTAATATTGAAAGAATACCAGAAGATGGAGTTATTTGACTTTTTCTTTAAGAATGAAATGTTTTTTATTTAGTCTTCATAACTGTATGTACTTAGACATAGATAAATATATGTATATATTGGAGTGTACACACACACCTACATACTCAGACTGATTTAGGTTTTATCGATCCTTTTGAAAAATTGATCTAATGTGGGTTTTAAAAATATATATATATTCTTTTAAAAAGAAGAGTTTTATTTTTTCTTCCAGAGGAATATATTGGCAGTATACTCTTGACTAGAGTCACTGGAGATTATTCGTATTGTTCACTAATTAGAGCTAGACTAGAAGTCAAAAGGCATGTTCTAGATTAGAGCTAGTGAGGCTTTCTGAAATCATGTTATTTGGCCAGCTCATTATGGATCAAGGAACTCAGGTCTGGTCAGGGTATGTAGAGGTCAAGGTATGTTCCTAGTTCTACCCACCGTGCACTGGTGACTTTGGGAGAATCATTTCATCTTTCTTATGTAAAACAGGTGATTATTTGTTGCTTTCCTTCCTGGTTCGCCACCAGGCACTCCCTCTATAGACATGTGGAAATGTTTGGGGTGTTTTTATTTATCCTAAGCCTTGGAAGCTACTTGCCTTTGGATCCAGAGGAAAGCAGGGATGCCAGATGTCCTGCAGCGTGAAAAACACTCCTACAGGACGAGGCATTGCCTTGCATAAACACCCAGAAATGCCCTCTGGGGAAGCCCTGACAGACACAGCAAGGATCACAGGCAGCAGTGTCTGTGGAACACTGTAACAGCAGTTCCACGTGCTGCATAAACCAAGGCAGGGTCTTGCTTTTCTACCTGGTTGGTAAATTTTTTGCTTTCTCAGAGGCATTTTGGGATGTGCTATATCCTTTTAATTAATTTATTAATATTTACATATTAATGATATGTATTCCTTATTAAGGGAAATTTGAATATTGTGGTATGTCCTTTTAAGGACAGTGTTGACTGTTTTCTGTTACTATCACATGACTTTTTTGTTTATTTTTTGGCTGTAAGAAGAATATTTACAAAGGAATATGAATTAAACATATCAAATGTGATAAATGGCAGTTTTGGTGGACAGCAGTTTACAGATCTGCTTTCTGCGTTGAGACAGTTGTGAATGAACCTTTTTCTGTTTCCTTAGGCCCCAGTGGATCTTGCAAAGACAGAGGAATGAATTGTGCTGTTTTGCTTCTCTTTGTCTCTGAACTCTTTTTTGTATAGTTTCCTTTTTTTTCTCTTTGGCTAAGAATATGGAGTGGTTTTGGGGTAGATAATTTTCTTCTGTGGCAGTTAATAGAGTTTGTAAGAGTCTACCGAAACAAAATGAAATAAGAGAAAAAAATTTGACTACATTTCTATTTCTAAGTGATTTCATTAAGTTGTTGATAAGCTCTAAACTTTAAAGGAAGTAATATTCAGGTAGTTTTGATAAAGAACTTGGAAGGAGGGAATATATATATTATATCAACTCTTTCTTTTTCAGAAAATCGTTAGCCCATCAGTAGTTTATTTCTTCCATTACTTCAAGGTTAGGGCTGTTTTGTGTTGAATCTAAGAAGAAACTTTTCTGTTTTCAAAAATCTTTATTTTGTGTAACATGTTTTGAGAATTCAAGTAAAACTAATACTTTTGAAATGATCTACCATTGTACATACTATCAAATTATTGGAAAAACAATTTAGTGTGAAAAGGGATATCCAATGAAGTATTTTCTTCTCATATAATGACATTTTATATTTATTTCTAAACAGAGACAAAACATGGAGGACACAAGAACGGGAAGAAAGGAGGACTTTCTGGAAGTTCATTCTTCACGTGGTTTATGGTCATTGCATTGCTGGGAGTCTGGACATCAGTAGCGGTTGTTTGGTTCGATCTTGTTGATTATGAGGAGGTTCTAGGTAAGAATTTTTATATCACTTACGTGAATTTATAAGAGAGTAAGTGACAGCTTAGTAAGCTTAAATATTTATCATCTTTTTGGTAGTTAATTTCTGTAGCCTTTCAGTGGATCTCAATAGACTGAGAATAAAAAGAGATGTGATAAGGGCTGTCTTGAAGTAGTAGCTTTTGATTTCTTTGAACATGACCTGCAGTTTAAAAAAAAAAGGCTTTATATATGTGTGTCTGTCACACAGGGAGTCTTATCAAACAGTACTCATTTTCACCGTATGTAGTACTTTATAATTTCTATTCAATTTTGTTATAAATTTTAAAAATACTTGATCATAAGCCACTGAATTTGTTTAAGGACCTACTAATGGATCAAAGCCACACAATCTGCAAAACCCTAAAAGCATACCCCTCTGTGTATCTGTTGGGGTAGGGAGTGTATGTGTACAAGTGCTGGGGTGGGTGTGTGAGGGGGGTGTGGTCTGTATGCTGTTCTGAGGAAGCTGCTGTGGTACTTCTGATAGTTTCCTCCTTTCTATTTTTCCTTTTCTCTCTCCATAATCACTGCAGTTTTTCATAATCTTTTATATTAATCATTATTGTTCCTGGAGTCACGTTCTCTTTTTTAAATATACTTCTCCAAAAAAATTTTTTTTTAAATTGAGATAAAATTCATATAACATAAGATTCTATATTATAAATATTTGAAAATATACACTTTCGTGGTTTTTAGTACATTCATCATTTTATGCAACCATCAGCATTATCTAATTCCAGAATATTTCCATGATGCCTTTCTCCCTGAAACATTGACTCCCCTCCTCCTTCCTGTCCTGGCAGACTCCAGTTTACTTTCTGTGTATGTGGTTTTGCTTATTCTGGACATTTCATAGAATCATGCGATACGTGGCCTTTTGTGTCTGCCTTTTTGCACTTAGTATGTTTTTAAGGTTCAATACTTACTCTGTCTCATGGCTGCATAATATTCCACGATACAGATACACCACATTTGGCTTATCTGTTCATCAGTGATGGACATTTAGGTTGTTTGCACCTTTTGGCCATTGTGAATAACGACCGTTCTCTTTAGTAAGCCAGTGGCAGACATGGACCTGCCACTGGCAGAAATGCTGCTTGCCTACATACACGGTATTGCCTAGAAGATCCCCCTTCCATTGGACCTCTTGTGCCTCTGCTTTACTTGTAGATTACAGTCTTCTTTCGGGGGCGGGGGGAAGGCAAGGAATAACAAAATATGTTTATGTATAATCTGTTTTCATTGAAGTTTTCCATTTTTTTTTTTTTTTTTTTTTTTACTTTAAGGAAAATATCTCTGGGTAGATTAAGAGACAGAGGGAGAATTTTAGTCTGGAGACAAACTTCTGAGTAGATCTGTGCTTTTACTGACTGACAGTGGTATGTTGGTAGGGAATGCATGCATGTTCAGTGAAAGAAGGGATTTTAAGTATTTATACCTTTCAGCACAAGTAACAGTTTCATGTTTTTACATGCATGCAGCCAAAGCAAAGGACTTCCGTTATAACTTATCAGAGGTACTTCAAGGTAGGCTACTGGAGATACACTTTAAGTCTACTCATGTTCATCTCTAAAACCTCATTCTACTAATTTAGGGTATCACCTGCATTGGAGAATGTGTGTATTAGGGCCAATTTCACCTTAGAAGTTTGTGTGGAAAGACAGTATTTTCTGTTCTTTAGTGTAGAGCTCTGTACCATGTATAGCCTTGACCTGCACATTAGTACTTTTCATTTTCTTAGCAGTAGAAATGATAGCATCCTCATGTCTTCATTACTATTATCATTGTAAATGTGTGTGTGCTTGCTAAGTCAGACTTCTACATGGCAAGTTAACTATTTTCCTAAGTAGAGCAAGGGCTCTGGGGAGATAAAGATTGATCACAGTTACCCTGTGCCTGCTCTTACACAATCTTTTAATATGCTTTGTACTAAAGAGATGGTAATAGTGCTGCCGATTTTTTTTTAGTACTAACGTTATATTTGTGAATGCATTTAAAATATTCCTGTATGTTATTACAGTTCTCCATAGTCATTGTGCAATGATGAATTGTAAGTCATGATTTTGGGATGTTTTTTAGGAGGTTGAATGTATTTAACTATTTGTAATGCTAAACATAACAGTACTCCTCATGATAAAAGCATTAAAGCCTTAAAATACATGTTTACTAATTTTGAGGAGTAAAGGCCTTGGCAGTATTGTCTTCTCAGCATACCTATTTTAATCCCTTTTTCCCTTAGTAATAGATGGCCAGCGCTGATTAAACTTGTGAGTAGAATAACCATAAGTTTAAGTTTGTAATTTTACAAAGCATCCGGTTTTACGTAGTTTATTTCCAGAAAGTCTTTTTTTTTAAAGGTTGATTCATGATACTTCTGTTGTAAATCATCACTGTAGTAAGATATAAAATTAGCTGTCCTTTTATTTTTATAACTTATGCTCTGTGTTAATTTATATTTAGTCTTTGAGGTTGGGTTGATTGTTTCTCTTGCTTTGGATATTAATAGTTTGATGAACTTTCATACTGTAGAAACATTCCATTTCATGTAACTGTTAGAAATATATTGATATTGTTTCTTTTATATGTTCAAAACTTTACCTAAAATATTTTTATCAGCATAATAAAAAAAATTATTCTGAAGTGATTAGATCAAGGTATTGTCATATTATGTCAGTTTTTAGAAATTGTTGGGTGAACATTTCCTGAATCTCTAAGTGAATTGCCCACCATTTTTAGGTAAAAAATCTATTTGGTATCACTTTGCAGGATTAAAAGAGCAGAGAATTGCGTCAGTTGGTAACATGTATGACTGATGGGCAGGACTGTAATAAGTGGTGATACTTTATTAAATTGATTTTCCCTTTTGTTCCCATATCTGTCATTCCTCCCTGTTGTAGGAAAACTAGGAATCTATGATGCTGATGGTGATGGGGATTTTGATGTGGACGATGCCAAAGTTTTATTAGGCAAGTACACATTTTATTTTTTGTTAGTAGTGATAAAATGCTGGAAATAAAAGAATATTTTTGCTTTAATAATACCTGTGTCAATAGTATATGTATTTTATGAAAGATATTTTCCCCTTAAATCATATATTTCATTCCTGTTGAAACTTGAAATGGCTTAATTATTTTTTCCATAAAGTCTCACATTTCAGTTTACTTTTTTTAGTGGATAAGTATATAGCTCTTACACATATATTTTTTAATAAGTATAATAATTTCATGTATGTTTTCAGACTCAAAGTACTTCATATTCTGAACTTAACATTTGAAAATATAATGACCTAGTCTTTCAAATATGGTAATTATAGCCATTCTTCATTGTCATTAGACATAATTCACTTTCATTTGAACATGTAAATTTCTGTAGGGTTACATAAATTTGTTTTGAAATAAAATCATGGTAGTAAACATCTTAAAATGTTCTATGCATATTTTAAAGGTAACATTAAAATAAGGATGCCTAGTATTTTGACCAGGTATTCTTATTTTGGAAGTCTTGGACTCCTCTATTTATGATCAGGATTACCTATCTTTATTATTGAGCTGTTTCTTGTAATAAATAATGATGTCGTATTCCTTCATTTGATTTAAAATGCTGTCTTCCTGGAAAGGATGGTGCTAATTTTAATGTGTAAATTTTGTATAATCTGGCCTAGTGAGATTTCCTTTGCATTTATATGTAGCAATAATATATATTAAAACTTTTTATATCAAAGTCTTTAGAAAAATAATGGATATGGCATGGTATTATACACTAAGCTCAATAGAATAATGACCCAAAGAAATTCTTCCTAGGTAGACTATTTTGTGTATATTTCATAGACATAAAAACATGGGAGGATACTAGATCTGTAACCAAAGAAACTTTTGGGGGGATTAATCTCACCACCTTATAAAACAGTAAGTTTCTAAATATGAAAAAGGTTTTAGTTGTGATTAAGTGTCATAAAGCTTCTTAATTTTGACCTTAGTTTATGTTTTCTCATTACTGCTCAGTGGGAATTAGTGTTTGCTGCTTAACAGTAGAAGCTCCTATCTTAACCTTAATGAGATTTTCTATGGAATTCTGTCGTTGCATATGTAACTATGAGTTTCTGTAAATATATTAAATCCTCAGATAACTATAATCCTGCTATGTGAAAGAAATAAAATGATACGGAACTTAACATATCAGAATGATGATAATTCCCTTGCCTATAAATGCTTATTACTCCAATATATTACTTAATCTTAAACAATGAATTCTGAATAGAGAAGCTTTATATTTTAAAGATAACTTCATGTGGGCCAACTTCCCTTATTTTTAGAAATAATATAACTTCTCATCTACTGTATTTTATTGGAATATGGTGTTTCTTCAATAGAACACACCGATTTCTATAGCAAATTATTACATTAATAACCTGAGTTTTAGTATACTGTAGATTTCAGAAGTTATTCTCTTTTAATCAATCGCTAAGAGGATAAGTAATTATACTTTGAAAAATGTTCTTTGCAGGTGTAGTATTAGCAAATTGTAAATTGTCCCTTTGATAAGAATTCTATACTTTGAGCTAGAACCAAATTTGTTGAATCTCAAGATTTATTTTGGTAATTTTACTAATGGATGCACAAAGAAAGATAAGGCTAACATAAAGAAACTGTTTTACTGTATAAAATGTACTAGTTCACAAAAAACAAACCAAAGTTGAACTGTGAGGCTTGCTTAACACCTCTGACTTATTTCTACAGTGCTTGAATTCTCTGCACGAAGTACAACCTTAACTTGAATTAAATTTTATGACTAAAGTTCTTTTCTGGTTTGTGAGATCATTGTAGCTTAGTTGTGCCTCTGTTACTGCCCTGTGATCGCAAAGGCAGAACCTGGTGAAATTCTTGGGGGAACAGAGGCTTTAGTGGATTCTGTGTGATCAGGAAGAGGCTATGGGGGGAGTAAGGTCAGTGAGCATATGCCCCAAAAAGAAGCTAGATTTCCTGAAGCTATTTTCCCTGGAGAGATAGCTCAGGGGTTGAGCTTAAACTTAAGGTAGAGAGAGAGTCCAAGAGGAGGGAGGATGTTAGGAGAGCAGATAGATGAGAGTTTGACATGGCAGGGGTGGTAATAGTTGAGATATGTTAAACTTTTGTACATTTAGCATTTATTTCATTAATATTTTTTTCTAGATTCTTAAATCTGCATATACCTAAATCATAAATTTGGAGGAAATATATACATTCATGTTTACATTTCTTTCACATTTTAAGGCTTGGCTTTTCTTGTGAAATATAAAGAGAGAATTAAGTACGTGGGAGTAAATGAAGATCAACAGCTATCATTAATTTTATTATTTCTGGCCAAGGCTTTTCTGAAAGATTCTTTTTTGAAAATATTCCATTTATATAATTTCCTATTTTCCCTTCTGATTCACTTTGAAAATATACTAAATAAGCCTGTTCTCCATTTACACAGCCTCCTATTTTTGTGGCCAAATTATCTAAAATAAAAGTATCTTTGGTTTTAGTTTGGATTATTGAAAACTACATTGTTTGGAAATATATTCTTTAAAAACTTATTTCCCAAATAAAATCAACAGGAAAATGATCCAAGGACTAAATGCTGAGAGTAACATCTTCTTAGAGTAACACCACCTAAGGATTACATGGTTGTCCTTTTGCCCTGTGACTAGCACCTGGCTGGCATCCTATCAGGTATGGCTGGAGAGCAGAAGGGAAGCCAATCAGCACTTCCTAGACACTTGATAAACATTTGTAGACTGGATGGACGCTCTAGAGAGCTGACAGGAGGAGAGGACTGGACCTTGCCAAGCCAAAGGCATTGATACCCTTTTCTTTGATGGAAGCCAATTATTCTTAGAGGTTAAGAAGGAATTACCCCAAATATTTTTTTTTTCTCTTTGGCGTAATATTTTGTCTTAAGAACCACGGGAAGGTTGTGGGGCTGGGTAAACAGTTTTGTTCACATGCTTTTGCATATTTGTTGCACACTTCAACCTGTCATGCTGAAGGTCAGGACAATTTTATATTCAATACTTTTATATTCAGTACTTATGGTATATTGGAAAGTGGAGAAAAATAAAAGTGTTTGTGCTAAATATGCAGCTGTAGTGTTTTAAGGTGGGAAGAAGAGGCAGTGTTATTCCCACAGAGACTTAGGTGAAAATACAGATCTTCTCTGTTCACAGCATTTGTTAACTGTTAAATTCAGTGAAGAAATATTCTGGGCTTGCCAGGAAATAATTTAAATACTGACTGCAATTTGTGTTTTTTCTCTCAATAATGTGAAGAATGGCACAATATAGTTCTTCTTTTGACTAAAGTGGAGAAAATCCATTGTCATCTTTAAAACGTAAATTAGTTGTCTTATTTTTTGCATGCCACCCTTGATTGCTGGTAGTTATATTATGTGGAGAAATTGTGTTTTGCCACACTATTAAATGACTGAATTAGTGGTGTTACGACTGGAAAGCTCTATGGTCGCGGATGTTCATATTTCTTACAGCCAGAACACTACACCCTATTTTTCCACCTCATAATCGTGGGACCATCCTGGAAGTAGCTTGGCAGTATTGGTAGACTTTGATACCAACTGGAGCTAAGACACTTTCCTACCCAAAGCCAGTTCTTCTCAGAAAAAAAAATGATAAAAAGAATATGTACTGTGATTTCTTTCCATCATGGGGGCCTATTTTAGGTCCTGTACCTAAAAATGATAGGAGTCAGGATCTCTGCAATAGAAGCTAATTTCGCAGGTTAATGGGGAGAGGAGTTTGCAACGTTCCTATTGCAAATGGCTGGCTAAGGCCTTGATCAAATTTCGTATCAGTAGGCAGAGTGAATTATTATTAATAGCTGACTCTTGTTATTGGCCAGAATTGCAGGGCCATGAGTCAGTTGCCAGAGTTTTATAGAGCTACACTATTTAATAGTATTAAAATGTAACTTTTTAATTGTAAGTATTAAAATTCTCTGAGTTACATAATTTGAGTGCATTTATGCCCATCTGTGGGTGGTGTAAACAGTAATCCTGGTAATCATGATAAACTCGAGAGTTTTTTAAGTTAACTCCAGGTCTTAGGGGGAAAAGTTTGAGGGAATAGCCTTTTTATTTTTATATATTATATGTGTACAAATATACATGCAGACATACATATATATTAACTATATATACACACACATATATAAATAAACTTTGGTATAACCAACTCTCAATAATATCTAGTTGGTAACTGAGCAAACCTGAAAGCTGTCAGAGGCATATATATATTTTCTCAATACTGCTTTTATTTGCTCTTCCCCTATTGTCAACCGATTACCATGTGTTGATTTTGGCTGATACAATTTTGTCAAGTTTTCAACTCCAGACTCTGATGAGAGAAAGGCAAACTTGGTTAGGGGCTGGCAGGAATGGGAGAATTGGTCAAACCGAGGCTGTCTTTTGGTACACGTGATTGAGAGTTAATTGTAAGGTATGCATTTTAATTGACTTCTTTATTTTCCTAAGTGTCTTTTCTGTAAACTTCTGCGACCATGATGCACATCCTTTTTGAGATCGCTCTTCCTCAACTTCTTTTTTCCACCTAACTACTCTCCTTATTTTCTCTTTCTCTCTTCCTTTATTCTTATGTAGGCCTGACCAAAGATGGCAGTAATGAAAATATTGATTCCCTTGAGGAAGTCCTTAATATTTTAGCAGAGGAGAGTTCAGATTGGTTTTATGGTTTCCTCTCATTTCTCTATGATATAATGACTCCTTTTGAAATGCTAGAAGAAGAAGAAGAAGAAAGCGAAACCACAGATGGTGTTGATGGTACGTCACAGAATGAAGGGGTTCAGGGAAAGACTTGTGTCATATTGGATTTACATAACCAGTAACTTTGATTCAGGGTCTGAAGTCATTGGCCGATGAACACCTGAAGCAGTGTCCTTTTCCTTTTCTTTCCTTTGCTTATGCAGGGCTTAATGTGCAGTGGGGCAGTTGTGATCTTATGGTAAAAGCCAACCTTGTGATCTTGCCCAGTGCAGCTATTAGCTAGTCCCTTGCTCTGCTCCCCCACTTCCAGTGAAGAAAGTGGCATTCCTCACTCTTGTAGTTGTCTACAAAGCACATTGAAATTGATGTTCCTGGTGGTATAATTGGTTTCTGTATCATTTTGTTTCAACTTATGTATTTATTGAACTACATTTGGAAACTTAACAGTAGCAAATTGTGTTGTGGTTAACCCTTCATGCTTGTCTTACTAACACTATTAATTAAGATGATTCTAATGGACTTACAAAAAATATTTCTGGCATGATTCATAAGTTAAATGCTTCTCTGTTGATCCCTAACATGACTGATGTATAAAATGAAGATTCTTTACAAAGCTGGTATTTTTTATTGTGATTTCTTTAGGTTCACTGACTTGTCAGATAGGTCCATACAAATTTCAATGTAAAATTCTGTATTAATGGTGCTTTTAAGATAATTTAAAAATAACTCCATGTTTTTGCCTTAGGGTAGTTAACTTACTGTATTCAGATAGTAGTATAAAATTTTTCTGTCTATGAAAGCAAAATTTATTTTTAATTTCATTTCCAAATATACATCCAGACAAAGTAATTTGTATTTTTTTAAGGTAGGCATATTACATGAGAAGGAATATGTGAATATGTATTTTAAGTAATGTTGTACATATTAAAATTATTCATCCTAAATAAAGTCTTTTTCCATTTTTTTCCTTCATTAACTTATTAATTTGTTATCAATTTTGGCTCCGATATGATGTGATTTTTAGAATTCTAAATTAAATTTATTATGTGGCGATTCTATTTTAGGAAAATAATTTTTTCCTGTTAGAAAATCTTAAAAACATCTTTAAATCAGTTTTTTAAAAATGAGTTCAGTATTGCTTCAATAATAATAAAAACCATTGTATCAGCTATATACAAACTGCATTTCCTAAAACGAGATTTCACCCATTTCCCCCCTAAAGCAAAGCTCTTAAAGCCTAAAAAAGGGTAAGGCCTAAGACCTTTTGTTTTCTGTTACTCTTTGAAGGTGTGCTGCTTTGTGTTTTTAAATCTCTTTTGAGCTTCTCTAAAATTTTGCTTACCTTGCTTCTCCCTAGAGCTTATAATCTGAAAATGTTTGCATTTTTTTTGACATTGAACTATAATAATATCTACTTTTCAAATATTTCTTGTTTTTCTATATTTGATCAAATTATTTTCAGTAAGTGGACCATTCATCCATTTATTCTAAGGAGGATGTGACAAATTTAGTTTCTTTGTTGGAGATCACTCTTGTAGGTTATCATAATGATAGCCTGAAAGTAAAAAATCTCAAATCAAACCACAGGAAATCCATGCCCTCTGCCTGCTACTTATGTGTGTCAGGGATGACTGTCCAATTTGCTGATCTTATTAAAAAACAGACATTCATAGCTACTTTTGGACACGGATATACATGTGGTACACTGGACAGTGATCTCCTAAAGTTTAAATGGCTATTAAAACTCTAGTTTGTCTTGGTTTTATTATTCAGGAAATATGTTATACTCTGTTAATGTTTCCAACAACCACAAGCCTCTGATTTTCAAGTAGTCAAGCACTCCAGCTAAGCCGTCATTTAATAGAATGTTCTGCAACAAAAGAGTATCTATCATGTAATAATCTTTCTGAAAGTTTATTTAGCCATAGTCCATATTTATTGTGTCTTCTACTTTGAATTTGAGTACTGGGAAATATCAGAGTTCATTAGGTTTAAATTCAAAAATAATCTTAGGCCCCGCTGAATGAAATTCACTTGGCCACGTGTCTGGAATATATTTTTTAAAGCCATCCTGTTAATGTATCATTACTACTAACACTAGAAGATATTTGATAAGTTTTTAAGCAGTGATTTGTGTGTTAAAAATGTTTGGATTTATTAATTTCTCATCAGGCTTTTTTTTTGTCATGACACTAATGCACATTTTATGTACAGAAATTAATTATGCTTTATTATTGTAAGTGAAAAACAAGAAGGTGAGATAATAATTTGCTATTTGTTTTGTACTACCTCCGACTAGCCCCTTTGAAAAGTCTCTGATGAGGGTAAAAATACAGACAGCTGATGAACCCCTGACTTCTGTGACTTCCTTCAATTTGTGCATAAGGCTTTTTGTGTGTGTGAGAGAGAAAATAAAGTTGTTTGTAAAAGTGTGGTATAAGGTGTCTTGAAGCTAATCAAAATTATTTTGCTTAAGTTTTATTTATTATATGTTATAATTCTTAATTTTCTAAGGGTTTTTTTCCATACTTTCCTGTTTCATAATATTTTTCTAGCTCATGTCTTTTAAACAAAGGAACTAACTTAAAAAGACAAAATTATATCCTCTACATTTGAATATTTATTTATAGTTATGGAATTTTAAGTTGTACTATATTTACTCTGTGCTTTTTCAGTTTTGAACAAAGAAACCCTGCAAATGTGCTCTGTATTGAGACGTGGTGATGTTCCCTCATATTCTTGCTTCTTCAGGTGTGCTGACATTTCTCTAGTTGGGAAGGCCCCGGGTTCTCTGGAGTTTGGCACAAAAACAAGGCAGTGACACTCTGGGGGTTCTTCTCAGCACTTTGGCTTCTTTCTGCCTGATTTTCTCTGGGACGTGAGTGGTGTGTGTCCGTCCGGTGGAGAAGTGACTTCAGGGTGCTGATGCCACCCAGTCCCTGAGGCTGGCTGGCTGCTCACTGGCCGTAATCCCACCGACGCCTCAATGCCCAGGGCATAATGGAATGCCTGCTTTGTCGTCTTGTCCTTGATTCTTTTCTTCTAGAAATTACCTCCCTGTCTTATAGAGCTGTGTCAGATATGTAAGAAAAACTTTTATCTGTTTGATTTCTAGTTTGTTTTTATTTATAGTTAGATACGCAGAACACAATGTTTCCTTGTCTGTCCTGATGTAACATTGGGGAATTATCAGAAGCAGATCTAGCACAGCCAGTTGTTCTTAGTTTGATCACTTGACAGTTATACCATTTGGGGGTTGATGCTCAGTGACCCTCTTCTGAGTAAGACTCTGGGCTAGCTCCGTACACCTATAAAACATACGGGAAGTTTTCTGTGATTTGACTATGGAATCCTCTTTGATCACAATGCATATTTGGGACACTTACAAGAAACTCACTGACTCAGACTTTATTTTTTTAAGTTGATTGATGGAATAAGTATGCTGAATTGTCTGCCTCTATTATTTGTTGAGATAACCGTATAATACTTAGGAGTAGATGTTAGCTCACTTATGGACTCCTTGAATCTAGGAATCAGGTCTTAGGTTTTATTTAAATCCCTCTTTAAAGCTGAGTGCCACATATGATATTCATTAAATACATGCTGGTCTTAGTCCTGATGAGTGAGAGCCTCAGGAGCCCTTCATTGCATAATAAAATACTAAGTTTTCTTTTTTAACCAGATTAAATAAGTGATAAAATTAGACTATTTCTTTTTGCAGGGATCGGGAAGTGACATTTTGAAGTTCATACAACAATCTGATACATGCTAACAAAGGTCTTCAGTTGACCTTTCCAATATCTCATTTGTATTTGAACCCACATTTTGCTTTGTTCAAATGCTCAGTCTCTGGATGCAAACCCTTCCTGTTCTTTCTTGCAGTTCTCTTACGTTCTGATCCTCCCTTCCCACTTATCATAGAGGGTTGGTGGGTTTTTGCTTTCTTTTTTTAAGATAAAAATTTCCATAGTATTATCATTACATCTATTTAAAAATAAAAAGGAAATTGGTGTAGTTTCCTGAAATGCATTTTACCAAGACTAGAAATCTGGAGCGAAGTCTGCCTAGCTCAGAGGACCATTTTACTTAGACATTTGGGGCCTCATTTTGCTGTGTGTAGTAAATGGTGAAAAGATTGTGATGTTCCAGTGCAGGAAAGAGGAAGATGAGAAACTGCAGCTCAGAGTGACCGTAGGTCTCACCAGCAACTGTGAGAGTGGCCAAAATGACCTGGGTGAGAGGTGATGTCCACACAACTGATTCTAAAGCTGACTGTAAGTTTGCAGTAGCTACTTGGGTGTCTGTAATGGGGCCAGTCTTCTTAAATCACATCTGTTGCATGCAGTGGAGCCACTGATCCAGCCTTTGGCTTAATGATTCAGACATTTTAGTTTCAGAGAGAACATTTCATTTTGAAAATGCTTGTGGGATAGTGGCTTTGAGGCAGTTGCCAAAATAGCATAAAGTATCTTTAGGCAATTTGTTCTAAGGGGAACATATAAGGCCTGCTTTTTTCAAATTTGTGTCACCTAAGCTATTAATAATAATGACCTTTAAAACCATCAGAATAAACATACAAGTGTGAAAAGAAAGTATACAACACGGTGGTGCTTTTTTGCCATTCTCTTTGAGTTTAACTACATGCTTATGCTTCTTTGATGACTGCCTTCAATTGGAATGCATTCTGTCAGTAAAAACTTTTATCCGAATGGATCACAGAATACCAAGATGCTTCCCTTTCAGCTTTAATTGATAGCATTTTCTCCATACTACGTGGAAAGTATTTATAAAGAGCCACTGTGTTTCATGAATTTTTTTGTTAGATGGAATTGTTCTTCCGCACCCCAACCCCACCTCAAACACTATGTAGGAAAGAGAGCAAAGAAGAAAAACAAGCATGCTTGTTGATTTTTGGCATTGCAGGGAGTATCCACGTCAACCATAGTTAGAAATAATAGAACTGAATTCTGTCAAGAATTACAAAGAATAGAAAAGCGGGTCTTATATACCTTGTGGTTTTCTCTGAGAGCTCTTCTCTAATGCCCCCAGAGTCATGGTTTTTCTCCCTACATGTCACTAACCCTGGATTACCACTGACCCCCTTCCTGACCACTGCACTTCACATCATTGCTGGAAAAAGATCTGTCATGAAGTTACCTGAATTGAAACTCTGGGGCACTTGCTGTTCTGATTGCCACTCTCTTTAGTGGGTACTCTAAACCCTTTCTACACTCTCCCATCTTCCTGGGCTGTTTTATTCCTCTGTAGGGGTGATTTTGCTTTCTGCTTTCCAGAAATACTCAACTCTGGTTCAGGTTCCATTATCTTCTCTCTTCTTTTCATGACATTACCATCTCAGAATTTTTTTTAAGCTATCATCTCCTCATTCATTCCCCATTTTCTCAGACATTGCAGCATCTGGTTTCCAAAGCTTACCCTTTGCCTGTGCCTGTTCCTTCTCCTTCTGACCTCATTACTCTTTCCCTCTCTCACTATTCAGCTAGCTGCTGCTGCTTTTTTTTTTTTTTTTTTTTTGAGACAGCGTCTCACTCTGTTGTCTGAGCTAGAGTGCTGTGGCGTCAGCCTAGCTCACAGCAACCTCAAACTCCTGGGCTCAAGCGATCCTTCTGCCTCAGCTTCCCGAGTAGCTGGGACTACAGGCATGTGCCACCATGCCCAACTTATTTTTTCTATATATTTTTAGTTGCCCAGCTAATTTCTTTCTATTTTTAGTAGAGACAGGGTCTTGGTCTTGTTCAGGCTGGTCTCAAACTCCTGAGCTCACGTGGTCCTCTAGCCTTGGCCTCCCAGAGTGTAGGATTACAGGCGTGAGCCACTACACCCGGCCCTCAGCTTCTTTTTATTGTAGACATGCCCGTGTTTCCTTTACTTCAAAGTACTCAAGTGCAGATAAAATCCTTCAAAACTTTGTTTCTTTTCTGCCCCTCAGAATCTTGGGAGAGTCCATGTACAATCAGTTTTCTTCTAAGGAGATGAGGGAAGCCTTGTTGAGCACCTTTCTTTCCACCTGTGTTTCTCATCATTGTGGTGTGACCATCTTCTTTACTACTTGCAAACTGTAATCTGAAGAACTTTAGGGGGCATTTAGTGACTGACTTAATTCAGTAGTGTCCTAAACTTTTGTTCAGGCCTTCTTTCCTAAAACTGATCATTTCACTTTTAGAACACCGCATTTTCTTGACTTCCTTATGTTTCATTGTTACTTGGGGCTCCTTTGATAACTTCCTGTTTGGGGTGTTATGTTTTCTTTTTGTGTACACTTTCCTTCAGAGACTGAATATAGTGATTGTTCAAATGATTAGCTCAGTCTTTACGATGTCAAGAATACTGAAAAATTATTGACTATATTTTTTAAGTTCAGAAAATCTAGCATTAGACGATACTTTGGAATTTTATATGATGCGTTGTGCTCTGTTAGTTTGCATCACTGTAAGGATTTATACCCAAACTGGAAAAGTTTAAAATACACTTGATCTTAGCCAAAAGGCCGAGAAGCGATGGAAAAGTTTAAAATAAAGCACAGTACTCATTATTGTTTTATGTTTCACTACTAATATGATGTTATCTAATGTTTTGGCTGATTCATGACAAAAGTTAGCTCTAGCCTTTTCATCAGCTCTTTTTAACTAGAGCATACTGGTGGGGTGGGGGTGGGGCAGTCTGGTTTTTGTCACTCTGCTTTTTAACAGGAAAATCTGGACCTGCCGTGGGGTGACCATGCAGGCATCAGAAAGGGGGATGTTAGCAGTCTTAAATGTGTAATTTAATGCTTTATGCTAATATCTTTTACACACTGAATAATACTTACGTATTTAAAAGTTGGTATTACATGAATAGGTTTGATATTTTATTCTGAGATAAACTTTAGTGGAGAGTGGTCCAAAATAACATTCAGTAGTATGCTGTTTTTGGCAGAGTTTAGGAAAGAATCAAATATCTAGAAAATAATTGTAATACACACACACACACACACACACTGGTTATGGTTGTCTGTGTATTTCAAGTAATTGGATACGGCCACGTGAAAACGGTGAGTCACATGTTTCTTTTTTTATGTAGTCAGTGGTAAGATATAATAATACTTTGTTGAAGAATGGTGATGGTAATGTTTTTAACCAAGATAAATTGACATTTTCAAATGGGTTACCTCATTTGATAGAAACAAATGAATAAAGAAGGGAATTTAGGAATAAAGGATGATTTGAACAACATAACAGGAGTTACAAACATCTTACAGTGCAAGGGGGAGTTTGTTTATGGTTTTGAGAAACATACAGAATGGGTTCTACAGTTTACAGCAGGAATGAATGTCAGATGGCTTGGAGGGCTTCCTTGTGACCCCACCTGAGACCTTAGTTGTTGAGAGGCAGGATGTGAATGGTGCTGCCTATATCCTGCACTTCTAGCTCTAATATGCCTGAGAAATGGATTGGCAACTTAGAATGCCACTTCAGAAGGTTTGTCAGCACATGAATATAAAACAGCATTTATGTGGCCAGAAGATAGAATTGGGAAGATCAGGTGAGTGGGATGCTGAGTACAGCACGGTTGGAATAAGAGTGCTCTTAGAGCACCCTGTGGCATTGATGTTTATTAGAAGGTCAACAGTAAATCCATTATCAGAACTTTTCATTTGCCAAGAGAGGAAAGCTGTTGGAAAGTGTTTAGAGTGAAAAAGTTAATACGTATCTACATAATAGTGTCATTCTTACTTGTGTGATTTAAAAAAAAAAAAATTGGAATGATGGGGAAAAATAATAATTTGTCAAACAGTAAAGACAAAAATTCTATCAAAATATGCTATCCCTATTTGGATGACATATGTGGTTGTGTAGTGAAGTAAGGTCCTTGGTCGTTCACTACAGTGTTTGTAATTAGTCATCTGTGACCCAAGAAGAATAAAGAATAAAATGCCATTTTTGGTGATAGCAGGCATTTCTAATGCCAACAATTCTTAAAGATCTAAGGCTAGTTGTGAGGATGATTAAATCACAGGCTGATTACAATGCATTTATCTGTTATAAATAGTGACAGTAAAGCTTTAAAGTGACATATAAGTAATAGACACTTGTAACTTGTATGTTGAAGGAATATTTTTATTGGTAAATTTAAGTAACTTAATTTGTTTCATAGAGGCATCAATTTTAACTATTTTATAGATACTTATGTTTGAATTCCTTGAACATTTTCTGTTCATAACCTATTTTCATCTTGTAAATACCAACAGAAGGACCTGGTGGGGTAGCCAAAAGAAAAGCTAAGGCTAAAGGTATTTCCTATTTTTCAAATTAGCCTTGAGTGAATCCAGTTTAATGCTTGAAAATGCATGACATTCTCTGAGTATGTTATGTAAATGTAGCTACTAATGCTAAACATCGCTTTGTGGTCTGTCTTTGGGTGCACCTTAGGTTATAAGTAGTTTTGTTAAGATGTCATTGAAGAATTTTTGGCCTCAAGCCTATAATTTTAAGTAATTTCCATTTCATGTTATCAGAACTTTGTAACAGTCTTTAAGAACGTATATATTATACCAATATCATGTATTTGTTATATATGTTAACTTTACGTATACACAGCCTATCTTGCTCCCTAAAACCTTTCTTAATTTGAGTTACTATTTGAATTACTGCTGGGAAAAAGATGAAGTCATCAGTGATTGATTTTATTTCTCCAAAAGCTCTCATGACAGTCTGTCTTAGAGCACAATAAAAGTTAGTGTATCAAAGGTGTAGTAGTTTTCAATAAAATGAAAACTTAAGTATATAATCTGGAGCAGTGTATTACATTGGTATAGAATTTGCTGTGTTTTGTATTTTAATTCATTAAAAATTATTATACCTGTCAACTATTATGTATAGACTAGCAGCTCAACAGCCTACTTTATATCCCTTGATTTTTCCTGTTCATATGTAAATAATTGTGTCCTTTGTAGAGAAGGGCATGGGGATGTGCATGATTTTCTTTATAAACTTGCAACATTCTTGTAAGTGTTCAATTCAAGTGCTTGGCATATTGTTTGTGGGATTTGTGTGTGTGTTTTTTTGGGTATGTATGTGTGTGTGAAGTATGAACAGGTGAGACTTTCATTGTGTGATTTTCAGGGTTTTGTGATTTGTATTTTAAGATTAGGAAATTTTATGTTTTAACCTTGTATCCCACCTGAATAATTCCTGAAAAGAAAACAGTGTTTACTGTTTTATTTTTACATAAATGTGATGAAATAAATGCCAATAAGGTATAATTTTCTTTCTTGATCTAGACAGGCAAATTAAACATTAAGGATTTAATTTTTTAAAAACGGTTTGCAGAATAAGATCTGATAGCATTGCACAATCATTTTACCCTTTTGCAATGCCATTATCTATCTTACCATACAAACAGCAGTGAAGCAGAATGAAGACTCGGAGGATGATTCTGAATGAATAATATTCTGTATTCTTACTGGAGAAAGGTTTTCAGGAGGAATTGAAGAATTTCCTCATTGATCACCAGGAAGTTTAGTTAATAGAGAAACCCTATATGATATTTTTGTTGGTTAGTCAAGGTTTATTAAACTTCCTAGAAAGATACAATGCTGCTTTTAGTGAGTACCATAAATCTGATGCTCATATTGAATAATGTTTTGTGCTATGTGAGTTTTACATGATTTTCATGCGTAAAAACATCTTCCGCATTTTATTACATTAAAGAAATCTTTAATTTTCTTTGTGGCTGCTTAAATGCTGCATTGTACAGTAAACACTTTACCTTACGATTTCCTAGCAAGAGTGCAAACAGATGAAATTCAGAGCTTTTGTTGACTGCTCTGTTAAACTTTATACAAAGCAAGTTGAAAGCAGTATCTTCCATGAGATTTGGAATTAGCTGTGAGTTCTATTTAATTGCTCTCTCACCCCTATAAACATGGAAGACATGTGTTGGCTTGATTGGCTCTACATAAACTAACAGGGAAGCATACTTAAAGGAATACTAATTTCATGATATTGAATATAAGCAGAAAATTCTAATTTGTCATTTTAAACATTATAGATTGACTTTAAAATTTCATACACATTAAAATTGTTTTTTGCTTAGTTAGCTGAAAATTAAATGATACTTAATTTTCACTTGCACATATTTGTGTTTTCAAGGATTGTAAGCAAATATTTTACAATATTTTGGGATATTGGATACGATGGATACAGGGTGCAATGTTTTCTTTGAGCTAAAGCTTTTTTTAAATTATCCTTATATGTGAACTTACAAGTTATGAAAAATTCTTGTATTGCCAATGTTCCTTTAATTATGTCATTATAGTTATGAAGTGTGAATTGTTGGCACTTTGTGTAAAGTACTACTTTTCTGGATGCACTCATTTTTATAATGTTGCATGTTAACCTTCTTTTATGACAAGTCATACCATATTTCAAGCTGGAAAAATGTGACCAGCTTCGAGCATTTGTTTTATAGTTGATATTTTATAGAGGTTTGCATCTATTTTTGGCCAACTTAAATAATAGCGAATTAAAGTAACTTTTTGAATGAGCATTTTCTGTGTGTGAGGAGATAAACAGACAATACCTTTTCACTAACCTGCTGTTCTATGAATCAAGAGATGCTGTCAATAAACATTTTTTCCTTTGATTGGAAAACCTGAAAGTTAAAGAACTTACTAAAGAAGAGCTCAAGAAGGAAAAAGAGAAACTTGAGTCAAGGAAGGAAAGTAAGAATGAAGAGAGAAAAAAGGGGAAGAAAGAAAAGGAGGATGACCGGAAGGATAAGAAAATTGCTGATGCAGATATATCCAGGAAAGAGTCTCCTAAGGGGAAAAAGGACAGAGAAAAGGAGAAAGTGGACCTAGAGAAAAGTGCTAAAACCAAGGAAAATAGGAAAAAATCAACAAATATAAAGGATATTTCTAGTAAAATGGCATCCCGAGACAAAGATGACAGGAAGGAAAGTAGAAGTTCTACCAGACACGCACACTTAGCAAAGGGAAATAACCAGAAAAGAAAGGACTAAAGCTCTGGCATACCATCCCAGGAAGTGATGATATTCTTTGTTGTGATTTGTTGCTAAAAGGTGTAGAAAATTTCATATCTTCCTGGTTGGGGAATATGTGTAAATTAACCATTGAATGTGTTTATTGGTGCTCAGCAAGTAAATTTGAAATTTAAATAGACTGTCTGTGATTCTAAATTTAAAGGATGAAGCTTTTAAAAAAAGTTATAAAATATGTATTAACTTCTATTTTTAATTTATTGATCATGTGTCAGATAAATGTCTATGTATACTATGAATTATAATGGGTTTATTAATATATTGAATACTTCTATTGGAGGTAAATAAAAATATTAAGACTTTAAATAGTATTTCTATGCAGAGTAAGTCTTTCAACTATGCTAAATTCTTAGGGAAATAAGAAGTTACCTTCTTTCTCTATTTGCCCTTTGATTTCTTCCCTCCTTTCCCTTCCCTATTCCCTGTTTTCCTCTCCTCTTCTGTGGGTATCTCCCCAGGCTCTTGTGCTTCCTTCTCTCCCCAATGCCCCCCAGACCCCTATCTTTAGGGGGCCACCTCTTCCTCAGTCTCATCCCAGGTCCTTCTCTACCTTTCCCCATCTGTCCCCTTTTCTGATCTTTCCTACCCCAGTTTTGACTTTCTCCTTTCCCTCCCTCCTCACCCCTGACCTCTCCTCAGCCACCCCTCCCTTTCCCACCAGTTCTCATCCCTGCCCTTCTCTTGTCCTTTGACAAAAACTTTGTGCCTACTGTGTGCCAGCTACACTGCTCTGGGAACTCTGGATATTGCCATAAATAAAAAGGGATGTAAAAAGAACATTTTTATTTGTGATGTCTTTACTGTCTCAGAGTAGTTATAGAAAGACTTTCATTATTTCAAATTAGGATGTCCTTTCATTTTATATCAAACTGTTTTTCAGTTATTTTGGCTGAGTGACATATTTATCTTATTTTATTGTGTTATAATTGTTTACTGTTTCTAAAGAATTGCAAATTTGAGATCTAACTAAAGATCAGAATTTAGCTCCTCAGAAAACATTTAATAACATAAAATTTCAGTAAGAATACATTTCTACAAATGGCATATACTGTTCTGTACATGTAGTTTTAAATCTCTAATCATGACTGTTAGTTGATAATGAGAAGAGCAGCCTGATTATTTGTAAAACCACCATGCTTATAACAACTAAAAATAAATAAAACTGTTTATATCAGTTTTAAAATCATTGTTTGAATCAAAAGTGCTGCCACAAAGATGTTATTTTGAAAAAATAGTTATTTTTCCTACAAAGAGATTAAAAAAATAGAGATTTTTAGGCTAAAGATGATTTCAAGTCAGAGATGAGTAAATTTAATTGTAAACATTTCTAAAAGTGTTGTGCACCTTTTTCTTACATGCTTGTACCTTTTACTCTTTAAAAAATCAAACACGTTTAGTTGACAAAAATTCAAACTAACAAAATTATACAGCAAGGGGGAAATCCTGGGGAAAATCTAATCTAGTATCTCTAACTAATCTAATCCTATTATTTTATTTCTTAAGAGCTAAGGCCCAAAGAACTTGTAATATGTGATGACTTAGAGTTTTATATGTTGATTAGTCAGGATTGAGCTCTTGTTTTTATAGATTACAAGAACACAGTAAACCAAAAAAGGAATTTTTTGGCTCCTTTAGTTGGCTGATGGGGGGATGGCACTGGCTTTAAGTGAATAGACGTGAATTCCAGCTCTGTAATCAGAGCTCTCTCAACTCTCACTAGCTCACTTCCCAAATAGAGGCTCCGCAGGTTTCTGCCTGACTTTATCCTATATGGAGATGCTGCTATTGATGGCCACAATGGCGCTCAGCAGGCCCCAGACTCATCTTTCTGGTTTGCCAATCCCAGTGCAGAGGCAGCTTTCTGGGATGGCTCTGGAAGAAAAGTCCCTGGCAGAATTCTGATCGGCCTGGTGAACATCTGTGACTGTTTTTGTAGTTGGGGATGGGTTAGTCTTCCTAGGCTGGATCCTGTGCACAGAGATTTGGGGTGGGAGTTGAGTGAGTCCTACCCAAACTCTATGAAATGTAGGACTTCTGGGACAAGAAGAGGAAGGCTCTGACTGAGAACTTGGATAGAGCAAGAAGCAAAACAGATATGTCACCACACGTGTAAAAGTTAACAAGATTTTCAAAATATATCCAAATGTTATATCTTGTTGCTGAGATAAATGGATTAATTTGTGTGTGTGTGCAAAATTTTAAGTACAACTTTCTCTACAGATTTTTTTG